GCAGAAAATCTCGACATTTTAGAGTAAATAAGTTCGTATACCCATTTTTGTCTTACTTCAGTTCTGAAGAATTGTCAAAAATGTTCAGGCTCTGTTGTTTTGCAGAGATGAAAAATTGTCCTTAATTAAGATACTGTGTACATTATTCATATTTTAACCCGAAATCCTCCGAGTTTCCCTCACTTCCTCTGTTGTCTTTTAAGAAACAAGGAAAGTGTGTATTAGCTTTCAGTCATTGCTTTTCATTTTCCTGTAGTAACATGCCTAACTAACTAAATATCTCAGCTCATAATCGCGTTTCTAAAAATCAGTATCTAAGAGCGGCTAAAAATCAGTATCTACTGTGAGATAGAAAATTGATGCAAGATGTTTCAATTTGTTACATTCATTTCGCCTATCGAAGGAGAGAAATAACTATATAATATCATTGCAGTCATGTCTTCAGTTCAAATGAAATATCTTGATATTTCATTCCATATACGGACATGTGTGGAATTATACAAGCCGGGTTACGCTTCACTTAATAACTGTGAAAATGTACTTGAGATTGCAAATGTACATTTACTCCCATATTTTCACTCCATTTTAAACGAGGTAAATATTTCATGATAAGAATATTAGGTGCATTATTAAAATATTGATTTTTGGCCTACATAATACATTTGGAACATTTTTGCTCATTTTTATCGGATTTGAGGCAAAGCCGCCTACAACAATATAGTTTACAATGACCATGAGAACAACCAAGATAGTTAATACTATTGAAAGTTCGGGTAGCTAAAATTACTGTAAATGTTTCATGCTATTCTGAAGGACTTGTCTTTTGGTTTATTCTATAAAATAAGAATGAAACTGAAGTGGTAAGTAATCAAGTATTACATTTTCATTTCATTTGAGTTTTTACAATTAAAGTGGGAGCCTCCAGGAAAGATTTTAAAATTAAATGCAGTTTTAAAATCATTACTTTTTAGGAATTCAATTCTTAACGCATAATTTGATTTAACACATAGTATCCCATTTTACAACTTAATAAGAACCAAGTTTACTCTTGTCAGCAAAATAATTTTTAACGAACAGAACGTACTTCGCAATACCATACGTTTCTAATTGACAACCAATTTTGTTTCGCATATTTAATTAAAATTGATATACTCGTGTAATATGTGCTTTACCCCCTTCTATTGTGCTTTAAAATGCGAAAATATAATACGCGAAAATGGGTAATAAGCTAATGGCCAATTTTGGTTCGGGCATTTTTGAATGTATCGGCAAAGAGCAACGCTAATGAAACATCGTTCATGAATAGGACATTTTTATTGTAAGTAATATTATTTGAGTTAATTTTTTAACTAAATATTTTTAAAGCGCGTTGCAATATTGTTGTATGTGTGCAACATAAACTGAAAAAGATTGAAAAGCCAAAGCAATGTTTAATTGGAAGTCTGACGGCTTCTTTTGTAATTGTTGTTCGTGAATCGAGTGAAAGATCTGCCGCAAAAAAAGGAATACAGAAAAGGGTTGCTAAGGAGATGTTTATTTATACGTGCAATTGTTCATGGTGACTTGTGGTGCAAGTGTAGATTTGTTGTAGTAAGTGTTGTAGTGGAAGTGCAGGTCAGTACGATACAATTCCCTTAAAATGAAATTCTCGTAAAAGTGAGGGAGGTTTATTGTACAGCGTGAGAGCTGGAAGGACGTCGCCAACGCATCTGTGATCCGATGCAATCGTGTTGTTTTGTGTTGATGTGAAATTACTGGATGATTTGTTTTCTTGTTTTGTAAATTTCACCGTTTTAATATCTTACAATACCCCTGACGATAAAAAAAATCCACTCAGTTACAATGAAGAAATCATTTTGAAGTAATGTATTGTTTTTCTACCTGAGACTGGAATAAATTAAATGCAGTTAATAAATACTGAAATGAATCGATATGAAATGACTACTTATCTCATTAGTTGAATTCATCATCACCATTACTTCAAAAAAATATTATATTGGGCGCAGAATATAAATGTCAAATTTGGAGCTTTGTATTTAATTTTATTCTGTTTTAAGGAATTTAGATTATTTATTTACTGTTGTCAAAAACCTCAAGCTTCATGTGTTTCCAACAATAGTAAAAGTTCTACGCTCTTCATTGTTTAAAAGCAAATTGAGTTTATTTTTATTTTGAAGTGAATCATTTTTTGAGTCATTAAGAGATTTTTTTGTATTGTTTGTTTTATTACATTCTGCAATCTTCTGTATACATAGTTTTACGACTTGGTTGTTTTTGTTTCATGTTTTCAGCAATAAAAATTCTATCTTTTCGGTAGAGAATTTGCAGATGCAATTGAGCTAGCATTGTTTAGTTTTGTGATTGCATCAAATTGCTTTTTTAAACAATAAAAATAAAATTAAAATAATTACATCTGGTTTAGTTTCTTGCAATTCGACGTCAAATATAACTGAATTATTTTCCCTTAAATTTTGACTGATATGTTAGAAATGCTCCTAATTGATAAGTTGATCATTTTAGTAGTTGAATACACCCGGGAGGTTTTCTTTCACTAGATGCAATTAAGTAAATAAGAAAATATAAATATTAAGTAAATATGTAACTTCAAATAAAATTTTCTGATTTTACTTTTCTTTATGCCGAGCACTATGATTTATTACTTCGTAATTCTTGGGTTGTCAAATAATATCCTTTTTGAATTAGTTTCTCAACCGCAGAGACATAGCTATGAAACAGATACGTAGTAAACTTTTCAAATTCCAAGAAAAATTGGGCTGATATTTTTAAGTTTTCTGAGTATTTTTTTAAACAATGAAGTATTGTGTGGGTTTCCGCCGATAAGATGTAAACTGCTGAATTGTTATAATACTCTCTGCTGTCGAATAGATCAGCACGAATATATATATATACATACATGATTTCACTAGTGTGGCGGTGATCTATTTAAAATTATTAGTTTTTAATTTAGTTACGCAAATAAAAAAAAACATTTTGTGAACTTACGGAAAAACATAAATCACTCTCTCCAGACTGCAATGTTAATTTGGATGAACATTTGACCCATTGTCTCGTACTATTTAACCTATACTTAAACATTTTGGAGCAGCGTAGTGGAAATATTTTAAGTAATTACAAGCAGATTTACACATTTTGAATATCTTTGTAATTTTTAGCAAATTTGTAATGAAAGTAAAACAAAAATTTTTACATTTCTTTTGTACTTTTACATAAAAATCCGGAAATATGAAACTTCCTGAACTAATTTTGCTATGGTATACTCCCGACTATTTAATCGGCATCTTCCAGAAAATTGAAAATTACCACTCGAGTAGTTGCAGAGTTAATGGGATAAATGTGTTCAAAACAGTAATTTTTCCGAAATTAGAGTCAAGGTTAATCTTCATACAAAAACAGTCGTAGTAACAAGTATACAAAACACTTTTGCCGCTGTGCAGTGCAAGCAACATTAACAATTGTGTAACGGTTAACGTATCGGGCTGCCATAGCCAAGTTCGCGAGTTAAAAATCCATGGCTTCGATCGCGTTTTAAGGCCGAAAAAATCCTTCTTACGCCTTCCTCCGGAGGGGAGGTTAAGCCGGCTGTTCCGTGTTGTAAATTTTACTGCATGTAACAAATCCTCAAGCCTAAATGAAGCCTCTGAGCACAATTCAAGTTGCCCTGACCTTTCACCGCTAATTGGTGAAAGGAGCGTAGCGTTTGCAGGAAGAGTAGGTTTCGTAGCCTGAGTCACGCTACGTAAAATAAGGCATCATTGAATTAAAGAATGGACTTTTCTCTAGAATTTAGTGAAAATCAGAGCCTTTTAGATTAATTCGTTCACAAGATATATCGTAAATGAATATAGTAGAAGGCAGAAAATAACAAAAATATGTTAAAATAATGAATTTCACAATGAGTGTATATAATTTTATTTATGAACTCTAAATATTTTGAAAATGTTAAAAGGCGAAAAACGTCAAAAATTCAGATTTTTCTTTGACTAATAACTTAGAAATTAAAAAAAGACAATAAAGTAACTTGTACTTTTCGCTGCCATCGTTTTAATTAACGAAATACGCATTAATTCATTAGCAAAACGCACAGAAGCTATGTATTTGCAACATGTACAATTTAAAAGTTTGAAAAACAAAATAATTTAATTCATAATTTAAATCATGAAGATCCACACAGAGACATACTAGTTTCCAATATAGTATTCACTGAGTTGGCTGTTTTTTTAAAAATTAATTGACATGTTTGTAGAAATAATTCCTTACTACGTGGTGTGGTCAATAACTGATTTTTTTAAATAAATTATTAATTAAGTAATTAATAAAAACAATTTGATGTTTTTAAAAAATATTCGAAGTGTTCTTCGCCCTCTAATTTTCACAGATTTGCTTCGAGATTCAACTGATCGTTGTGTTAGCAAATAATATTAACATTGTCATATTCATTGACACCATATTCTTAACTAAATTTGTTTATTTTTAGTGTACACTAATTAAAATAGTACCAAGACCATCGCCTCACAAAGGTTGAGACAGCTGTTACTAATAATTGGTTTATTAATGTCTTTAATGGAAGTTCCTGCCATTTCTAAAGTATGTAGGTTGATATTCGGTGTTACATAACGTTTATTAAATCAGTTAATATCGTTTCTCCTTTTTAAAAAATTATAACAAAACTTTACCCATTAATTTTAACTTTGCATTTGGATTATCTGAAGGGAATGTTTCGCTTCTCAACAGCTTGTTGGTATGATGTCTGTGCTCTGTCCATAGGAACGCGAAGCGCGCATCGACTCGAGGAGGCGCAACGAGCGCAGCTCCATCGTCTTCGCTTTCGGCAGCTCGACGCCCAGGATGCTGGAGCCCGCGGACACCGGCGGGTCCTTCTGGGGCGCGCGCAGGTGAGCGCTTAGGGGTCCGACTCCGCCCTTCCTGTCTCCCCCGACCTTCTGTGCGTGTGCGTGCGCGCGTGAGAGACTTGTGCGCCGATGCCACGAAGCCGGCACTGCGGCCCCAGCGCCCGTGCCTGGAGTCCCGCAACGCGCCGGCGCCTTGAGCCCGGCCAGGGGAAGCCTGAAGCCAGAGAGGCTGGCGCCAGAGACCCGGCTGATGGCGGGCAGCACGCCGCGAGGCCCAGCGCGCCCGTCCAGGTCAAGGGCGTGAAGCGCTGCGCTCGTAGCCGGCCAGCGCGCAGCCAGCCCTTGGGGCTTGCGCAGGGTCTCTGCCTGGCGCTGCAGACCAAGCCGACGCTTGGGAACTGGCGCTGCAGGCTGACGCGGTTGCCCAGAGCCCGGCGCTGCGGGTTAATGCCAGAGTCCAGTGATGGCGCTCCAGGCTAAAGGCGTGTCGGTGGACGCGTGCCAGGTTTCCTGAGCGAGTGCCACATGCGTTCAAACTCTCCGCGAGCCAGTACCTTGAGCAAGTTGGAAGGGAATCGCTAAGGGTTACGACGCTGGGTAACCGAGGGCGACCCGAACCGCCGGTTGGATGATTTGCCGAAGGCTGGCTGACTGGCCGGCTGGATGGCTGGCCTAGGGCTGGCTATCTGATCACCTAGTTGGCTGAACGGCTGCCTAGGGCTGGCTTGGGGAAGGCCGGCCTAGGGCTTGGCTGATCGGCTGATTTTGAACAGACGGCTGGCCTAGTGGCTGGCTGACTGGCTGGCTGGACGGCTGGCCGAGGGCTGGCTATCCGTAGCCGGCCTGGGGCTGACTGGTCTAGGGCTGGCTAGCAAGTCTGTCTGGCCCAGGGCCGGACGGCCTAGGCATTCTACCTCCCCCCGAACGGGAACCCGAAAGTGTCCCGCGCGGCCCGATGCCAAGGAAAGGTGTGAGCGTGCGTGTGCAGCGTGTGTGGGAATCCGCTCCTTCTGTCCCGCCTCTGGTTGCCCCCGTGCGCTCTGTAGGGTCCCGCGCCCTGGGCCGCGCGTTCGCGCGCGCGCGGTCGAGGGCGCGGGGCTCCTGTGTGCGTTCTCCGCTGCGCAGGGCCACCTCTACCACCAACGTGGCGCTGTTCACGGCGCCGCTGACCCGCCGGGCGTCAGAGCGCGAACTGGCCGACGCAGGCAAGAAGCGCGCCACCTCCGCGGGCGGTCTCGACCGCAAGCCGGGCGAAGGTGAGCGACGCGCGGCGGCCGGCGCGCCCGAGGCCGGTGGAAGCGGGGACGGTGGCGGGATGCGCTGTTGGCCTCGCTCGGCGCCGGCGACAGCTTCGCGCTTCCTGTCACACTGCGGAGGGCGTCTTACAATCTCCAAGAACGTACAAAAAACGAGATGCGTTGTAATGGAGGGATGGGATAAGGGATAACCTGCCCGAAAAAAAAATCAGAAAAAAAGAAACAAAAAAACTACTGATCTTTTTTATTTTGGGGCTCGAAAATTTCATCAATGTATTACTATTTTCCAAGGAATATTGTAAAATTGTGCAAAGCTTTTGTGTACTTTTGTGCCAATGTTCTTGTAGATGTAATGCAGCTGTGTAATTGGCTGTCTTTAAGCTTCTGTTTTGCCTTTTTTGGCCACGATATTTTTTCTTCATGGGAAGCGTGAAGTGTCGTTGGTGCGAGGTGAGTTATGTTTGTATGCTTCTTTTTTCGTTGAAGTCACTGATGGTGTATTCAATGAAAACTTGTTACCTTAATTGTGTGGATGCACTCGCGGATGTTGTGCTCGGTGGTGGGGAAAATGTATTCTTAGAGAAAAAAGGTCGGCAAATAATAGTGGTCCGGAAATATTTCTTAGAGTATTTTTAAACTACATTTCCGGTTCCCCATAGTTATATCCTGAACGATATGCACCTTCATTCGAGTAAATAATACGGCAATGGTAGTTAACACAGGTTTCATGTGTTTGTACGTACCACTTTAATATATTAGAGTATATAATTATGCGAATATCGTATTTCTGGGTTCCATTTCATTTGCGCCCGTTTAAGTTTGTTGACCTTTTTTCCCCTCCTATTTTCTTCGGCGGAGAGACACTTTGTCTTGGCCTGGTCGCATGAGTTCTGCTATCGGTTCGCTGGATCGGGTGCGTACTAACATTATTACAGGATAGGCGGGATATTGTGTATCCACCACGAATGCGGCAGAAAGCCTGACCCTGTATTCTTGTTTTCATTTTGTATTGTCTGTGTATATGTATAAATAGAAAGCTTCATGTATGTCTAAAATAGCCCCTTTTTTACATTTTCAGTGTTTTTTCAGTTGGTAATTCTGAATGCCGCAGAGCTTGTTAAACATTATCGGTTTCAATAATTTGCCAATCTATTTTAATTACTTTTAATTCATTCCGTATTAAAATTTATTTTACATTAAATTCAGTTCTTTCTGTGTTTGGCAGTTGATGGATGTATTTCGTAAATTATGAATTTCAACTTTTTCTCCCCCTTTCAAGAGTAGTGTTGTAGTCGGGTCCATGCCCGATTTTTGTATGGTTTCCTGCTCGACGAACACGCGTGTTACATTGGAACGCACCCTGGTTGGTGTTGTGTGAAAGGGTTGTAGCGCCAGCTGCATTCTGAGGCCGCGGCCGAGCAGGAAGCGATGCAAGCAAGCCCCCTCGAGCTGGACCCGCCCCCAGTGTGGTTCGAGCAGAGCACTTATGACTCCCCTCAACGTGTGTGTTCTCTCTTGTCATTGTTGAACAGGCTTGTGGTTAAAAGTAATCTCCGGTGGACCTGCGTCCACCCGTTCTATTTCCAGATTTGAAAATGTCCACTTCCATGTACGAAGTGTTCCACTGGGTGGACGAACCCATGGCCTGCAGGGCCGGGAAAAACGGCTCTGCTTCTCCCTTCCCGGCCAAGCCGTCGGAGGCGCGGCCCATCAAGCCCACCCTGTCCCTGCCCGTGAACGAGAGCCGCCCCCTCCCGCTGTCCGTGTCCAGCGCGCCCCAGACCCCGTCCGCCCGCACCCTCCACATTGCCAGTCTGTTTTGTGGTGAGTTGACGACGAGTACAAGCGCGCTCTTCCGACGGGAGGGCGCCCGACACCCACACACGCACCTTGCGATGCTCCGTCATGTCATTGTTTTGAATTACATAATATATCTCTATCTCTCTCCTCGCTGTTTCTCTTGTAGGCGAATAACTGCCTCTGCTGACTACCTTTTTGTTTCCTTGCATGTGGTGTTCGTGAATGTGTGACCGTGTACTCGTGTAGATTATGGTCGACACTTCGATGTGTTGTTAAAAATATTGCCTACTTCAAAATATTCTAAAAGCACATCACTAACTCATATAGTTCACTGCATTTGTATGTATATCTAATCGATAAAGCTAAATAATATCATAAATCATGTCCTATTACTTGTATTAGGGGGTTTTGTCAGTACACCGCACATCGCATTATCTGCCTATTAGATTGATTATAGATGTGCTTCTTTTACAACATTAATATTCATTAGTGAAATATGCAATATAACAGGATAGTAGCTTGACGTTGAAAATGTCCCCGATTCGCCGGCGCGAAGTTTTCTTGGCGAGTAGCGCGAGCGATTTGGGAATCTACACGAGTAGACCAAATGAATGAGAAGTGTCCGTTTCTCCATGTAGCGATGCGGGGCGCCGGGGTACCAGGTGCCCTGTGTAGTGCGATGGTTTGTGTCCCGAAGCATCCACCCGCCGGCCCATGCGCGCGCGCGCGCCTGGGTCGGAGGCCTTTTTCCAGCACGTTCGGGGCCGCGGCAGAGCCTGCTTGTGCTTGCGTTTGGCCGACTCCCCGAGTAGCCCCGCCCATGTGTGTGTGTTGCGCGCCTGCTACATCCGTGTCTGGGGGTGCCCGTAAATGATAGTGCCTTTCGCTCACCGCTTGCTTTATTTGTGCTTCTTTTAACCTTTGCTTTGCGGAGGCGCAGTGAGGCCTCGTGACAAATGCAATACGATTTAATCAATGGCTCATTAATTGTGTATGTTGCTTTTTAGGTGCTTTTGAATGGTTATTGTTGCTGGCAATATCAGTTTTATTCCAAGTGTATATTTGTTTTATTTCAGGTAACTTGATGGTTTGCAGAAATTGTGTACTTAACTGCCTTGAGATTGTTTCTAATTCCCCAAATAGTACAATAAGCCTTGCGATTTTAAATAAATTTCTAATATACTCGGAATCCATTTGATTTGTATCAAGATTAGAGTTGCAAACTTGATACAACTTCCAAGCAGCAGTTGAATCACTTAGTGAAGGTTATTGAAATAGTAGCGCTCTGTTATTAAACGATGAGTCTCATAATGAGTTTGTAATGAATTTTGAATTAAGTAAAACAAACGCATACATTTCCAGCAGTTGAGCATTGTCGATTACGGAGCACCCCGGCTACAAACTTCCATGATTGCCTGCTTCCCTAAGTTTACATGAGCTTTTGTTGCAGATGTGAAGATCCCTTGACATTTGGTGTAGCTCCGTTACCTTACCTTGACTGTATCATTTTTTTTTTTTTTCAATCCGTGCTATGTGCTTACTTTTGATTTTGCTTCTTATTTAAGTTTCTTGAGTTCATTTTTCTGCATGTTCAATGTCTCTACTCATGTAATACCTTTATATTAGTTTTTTCTTCTTCTTCTTTTTTTTTTTTTTTTTTTATTTTTTTCAAGTTTCTGTAAAAGATGAAAAGTATAAAATTCAAAATTCAAGTGTTCACATCAGGGCCTCTGAAGTAACGCGTGTGAATCGTCGTCGATCTGGCTCTCACAACGAACAGCGCCAGGAGTGCTTTCTAATAATACTAATTATATTATTATTATTATTATTATTATTATTATTAATAATAATAATAATAATATAATAATAATAATAGTAGCGATAATAATGATAGCTTATTCAGAGTTTGGTTATTTAGAAATAATTTGTGTGATCATTAAATTAACAATTGCGTTATTGAATTTAAAGAGACTTGAATAAGATTCTCGTTTGCGAGATGTATTATGCATGCAATACACAAGGTCATCTCCGACCATTCAAAGAATGCAGGTCGGAAACTCGTAGAGCAGTATACTTCCTCCGAGGGATTGGCTAAATTGTAACGGCCGCCATTGGGATTCGCGAAGGGGAGCGGTGGGTCTCCCCTTTCAGAAGGGGCCGGTGGCTCGGTCAGGTGACGCGCGCGGGTTTGTTGAGGGCCGGCGCGCTCCGCCGCGTACGCCAGTCGCCCCGCTGCCGCGTTGGCCGGTTGCCCTGACCGCAACGCTCTGCTGTAGGCGACGAGACGGACTCGCCGCCACCCGCCGTCATGTCCCAGTCGGCGTACAGCGCGTCGTCCAGCCCGTCCGGGGCATCGGCTGCCGCACTCGCCACGACGCGCGTCAACCGTCGCAAGACAGACCTGATGCCTACCATCCCCTCGCCGCGGGACGGTGGCGGCAGCTCACCGGCGGCCGGCGGGCCGCGCTCCGCGCGCCCCTTCACGCGCTCACCAGGTAGGGCGTTCTCCATGTCGCGGCTGACCAGCTTCGCGCAGCCGCGGCGCCTGCGGCCTGCAGGCGCCCTGCCCGCCCGTTCAGTCTGGCGCGGCCGCCGCGTCGCAGCCGCTGCGCCGGCCCCGCAGCATGTCTCGCCAGCATGCCACTTTGGCGGCGCCGTCCGTTTGCGCCCTGCGCGCCGCTCAAGAGCATATGCGCACCTGGGCCCGGGCCCGCGCCGCAGGCCGGCCGCTGCGCCGCCGCGCCTCAGCGCGCCGAGCGACTGGCCATTCCGCGCCGCGACATGGCGCGCCAGCAGCAGCACCACGCGGCGGCGGCAGCGCCCGCCCACACGCCCACGCCCCACGCCGCCGCCGGCCAACAGCAGGCCACAGGTAAGCTGGAGTTTTGTGCACCACGTAGGACTTGTCGGGGATGGGGAGGTTATTACATTAGGACGTCCTTCCGTATTGTAAAATGATTGTTAATCATGGCTAACCTCATTACGAAATATTTACGTAAAAATTAGCGACTCCATCTTTTTCGAGACTTTTGCACGAGATAGCTTCCAGTTTGCTCTTCAGGGAGGTGCACAGCCCCATTTTGTAATGACCATAGGGTAACTTGAACGCGTGCCACTTTACTCCAAACCGCTCAAATTGAGTCGCATCGCTCAAACACCATCCCTTCCCCCTGGAAAAAATAAAGTACATCCAGTAGTATTATTCTTTTTTATACTAAACACTTTCATTATATGTTATTATAACAATGATAATTTTTCGTTTATTAACTTTGAAACTAGGAAATAATGACACTGGGTACAAAACTTTATACCAACCTTCCATAGTCGAGAAAGCAAAAATGCCTGGTAAAGGAATATTCTCAAGATCAAATATCTTGAACTGGCGGGTTTGTGTAGGGATCATCCCTCACGCGCCTTCATGACGACGAAGAGAACCAATTCATGTATAATATTAATATCACATAATATTGCTTGCCACCACAGCTCTACCCCCCCCCCTTCTACAACCGACGCTATAGTTTCCGTTGTTCGTAGTTTTCCCAGTTTGTCAATGTTATTGAATTCATGAATAATTGTGATGTAACGTGGCATTGTAACTTCAACAAATTAGTTAAAACTTCGCCGTTGCATTTAAGCCAATACGGTAAGGCATACTGATTTCTATGACGTTCCCTATGGCTAATGACACCCTAGCGCCCGACCAACTTGATGTCTGCCGATGATTAACTTTTAAGGTTATTGTATAGGAGGAAATAGTGAAAAGTCCATATTGGTTTGTGTCGGGATGTGCAGAAGGCATTCATCTATTAGTGTCCTAAAATTTCAAACTTGGCTTGAGGAAATGTGCCTGCAGGTTGCGAGTGCAGTATTTATATTGAGTGTTAGATTAGGGGGTCAACGTATGACAGACAAAATATGTAATCGTATGTAAAATTGTAAACGTATGTATGTAATCGTACAATAGATAAATTGGTAATTCAAATAAATAAATCAACGTTTCGGCCGCAAAAAAGCGATTTAAGAGTACGGTACCTCATACAAGTAACATATTACTTAATAACATACTACTTAATGACTTGGAGTTAGTGACACTGCTATGTTATTATTATAATAACAATTATTATTATTATTTCTCTACTCTTTACTTATAATAGATGCAAAGTACAAATGTAGTTGCAATATTGTTAGCCTAATTTTTCTTAAAAAGCTTCAAAAAATCTTTATTTTAGAACTAGTTTTGAGATTTAAAATCCACAATTTGTTTAAGTATTAATTGTAGACGTATTATGAAAAGGGTTGCGAATGATTTTTTCATCATCTTCACATAAGTTTTAAATCAAAAATTTGTTTACAGATTGTTTTTGTTAAGAGTTCTGTGTAAATGATGATTTTATTGCTATGAAATTGTACAGAAAATGGATCTTCTGTATTAAAAGAAACTAGAAGATCACATAAAAGGAAAAGAATGAAAGCAATTGCTTCACAGTGATGTTAGGAACATTAATTTGTTAGATGGCTTGTCTCGTAACATGTATAGTGGTTAGCTGGAAGGAGTAAAAACTATTACGATTACATACACGCTTACAGTAACTCAACATAAAGAATATAAGTAATGATCTGTTTCATTTTATCTATCTGCTAGACTCCATCAGGTAATTTTCCTTTGCTTTTCTTAATTATTTTTTTTCTTCAATTGTGTATATTAAATAGTTAATGTTGTGTGTGCTTTTCAGGTGCAAAATATTTGTTCAAATTGCAGATACAAAGGAGAAAATAAGACAAGTCCTAGGTGGTCATATGATCTCCATTTTGTAGTTTCTTTAGCTTGTTAGTTTGTTCTAAAAGTATTTTGTTTTTAAACTTTAGAAGCTTATTGTATTTCCTAGGTGTATGGCATGTCTGGCATTATTCAATTGTGTGTGTTCAGAAGAGAAATAACTATACAAAAATACATTAATTCAGTGGCATGCACATTTTATTTAATTGTTGTTTTTTATAATAATAAAAATTATCGCCAGGTCTATTAACTATGTCAGTCACATAAATTCGGTAATTGCTATTATGCAATTTAGTTTTGTGAATAAAATATTGTTTAAAAAGTTGAAAAGTAAAAAGAAAGAAAAAAGAAAAGGGAATTTAAAAGCTTTATTTTGAAGAGAAATATAAAATTGATCCTTAAAAATGAGTTTGTTCTGCATGGAGAAAAACTAATTCTATTATAGTTTCATTTAATTAATATTTGTTAAACAGTTAGTGGATAGCATTTTCCCAACATGTTCCTATGATAAACATAATTTCCTTTTCATTGCCAATCCTGCTTTCTTTCTTTTTTTTCTTTCCCCTCTCTCTCTCTCTTGCACTAATGATGGTTAATTGCTTTTTGTTAATTTACATGCACATTTATTTGTAAAATGTTCTATTGTTCGCATGGATAATGCATGGTGCTTTGTCTGATTAGTTGGTAGTATAAAGTAACGTGGGAATACGGCCTTTTCTCATCACAATGTAAGTAAAAACACATGGATATAGCCTTATCAAATGGGTTCTGTACCTGCCTTCTCATTCAAGTTTTCAATTGACTGCAAGGAAAAATACCGTAAGTTTTCACTTTAATCTTATTCTCACATCTAATGTCCACTGGAAGAGTACTATACACTGTTTTTTGACATGCATGTTGATAATTTAGCTCAAAAATAATCAATTTCATTATTTGTAAATGGTTTTAATATACTTTTCTATATTTACTTGTTAAACTGGTACAGTGTGTGGTAATCTTTTAACTACTCTTTCTCTGATCTGTGCCCAACTATAGTGGCTAAGAATTGCTTGGATAAATTGGTGATAGGGTGGTATTCCTTTGCACTGATTTTCCTGAACCTGCAATTCTTCCTTCTCAGACATTTTCCTGGTTCTTGCCAAAGACTTTGGAAATAATGTTTAAATATTAAAGAAGTTCTAAATTTCATATCAAAAAATTGCTTGGGATTCATTTTATAAAGGGAACAATTGCCAGATGAAAAATTCAGTATTTTCTCATTCTTGTTAATTGGTTTTCAAATCAATATTTCAATCCAAATATTCTATTTGAAAGTTAAGACTATATAAAATTTACTGCTAAAACAATTCATTTTATAGACTTCAAAATTGCACAGCAAAAGGCTGCTGTGTTTTTGCTTTTTTCAATTGTAATAATTTTATTATATAATGAATCATTAAATTAAAACTTATTCAAATATTATTGAAGTTCATTCACAGTTCTGTTTTGAATAAAGAAATAATTTGTATGACATTAAGTAGGCAGATGGATACTTCAGACTTTAAAAAAAAAAATACTAACTATTTCTACCAGTCTGAACAACAGTATAACAAATCTTTCTGCTTGATGGTCACATCATTTACTTCATAATTCAGCTATTACTTTACATAAATGAATTAGCAGTATTTTGGAATATGTTTGTTACAAGGATCTATTTTCTAACTTCATTTTCTTTTGTTGTACCATGTTATTGGAAGGTCATTAAAATATGTTAGGTGAACCTTGAAAAGGCCTCAATTATTTGGTCATTTAAAAATAGAAGTCCTTCTGTGCTGTCCAAAAAATCCTATTAAGTGCTTTCTTGAAGGAAAATGTATATATTATGTGTTACGAATGAAACGATTACATGCAAAATGTTTTGTTTAAAATTATCGTAAATCTCTAAAGGTATTTTTCTATTTGCACTATCTATAAAATGAGATTGTATAAAATAAAAAATAGTGTATCATACTTGATAGAATATTTCCTCTTATTTAGCCAGCGAAAAGCACATAACAATTTCAGGTTCTTAAGAGTAACTCTTTTTGTATTTAAGCTATCACAATAAAAATTGGCTGAAAAGTACGTAGATAATTGGCTGAAAAGTACGTAGATTTGACTTTTCTAAAGAGTACTATTTCAATAGAATTGGTTTATTGATTCATTTTAAATTCACCTTTTAAATTTTTCTCTGCTTTGAAATTTCATGTTTACCCAAAGATTATGTACTATTGATTAAAAATCATTAGTTTTAATTTCATATAATCAACAAAATTCAGGTTTTTTTCATGAATATTAAAAGAGCCTGGTAGAAGTGCATAGGAACACGAAGGCATGCTGCTGCACTGCCTGTACCCTTGCTTGCTTGTAACCTCTTGCCACCACCCACAGGGTTGCGTTCTGGTGAAGTGACTCCAACTCCTCCATCACGACCTTTGTCGGCGCTCAGTCAACAAAGCATGAGCAGTGTGGGCTCAGGTGTTAACCTGCGACCAAGACCCACTGCTGCACCACGTCGCCCTCGGCCTGTCAGCATTGCTGTCACAGGCGTCAGCTCAGAACAGATGGCAGCAGCAAGCAATGCTACTCATAGACACAGTGAGCAGACCCACCTTCCCTTTTCCTGCTGGCTTAGCTTCTAGAAAGCCATCAGCTATAAACTGCATGATTTCTTTTGCTGAAAATTAGCAATATATAAAATATTTAAAATACCAATATATTTAAAATTATATAAAATGACAAATTATCAGATGTTCTTAAATGTACAGTAACATCAGCAAGACTCCCAACTAAGATTCATTAATTCCTTTGACAGGGAAGAAAGAAGAAAAAAGTGGGGGTGGGTGAAATGTTCAATTTAGTTATCTAATATATATAAAATGCATATTATATATTATATACACTCCTTTGTATGTATGCACAATGAATATTCATAACTAAGCTTGGATGTTCATTAGAAAATTTAGGGGATAGAACAATCGACCTGCACTAAAAATCACTAAAAGGAGTTTTGCTGACCTTATTCATGTTTTTAAAATGTCAAAAAAAATGAGATGTGTGCCTGTGTAATATATAAAATGTTGAACATTTGTAATGTTTTTGCACAGATGCTAACTTTATACTGTTGTGTAGACTTTTTCATTCTTTCTTTTGCGAGTTAAAATTTCCTACTATGCATTCTTATTAGCCATATCTGCCAAACATTTGTAATCTTCAATTTTCAGCACATTCATAGTGTTTGTACATAAATATCCTAAATACGACAAACCTGTTTCCTTTGTTACCTATGAAAATTGCTGTTTTTATGTGAAAGATTTTACAAAGAAAATTTTGGTTAATTTTTTAAATTATTGTCAAGTTTGAATTCTGAAAATGGATAGGTTTATTTCAAGTAAGTATTAAGACCTCATTAATCTTACTTTAAAGGTCAGGTTAGTTCAAAATAGGGCAGCCCAGATGTTAAGACTACATTGTACTCTTTTGTAGCATGTGACTCTGATATTTTTATATTGTTTTTTGTTTATTAGCCATTATTTAATCATAATTATTTATTTTTACACTAGTTAAATGTTTGTTTGTTGTTACTTTTTTGTGGTTGATTGTATGAATTTTGCGAGGTTGATCTTTAGCATCATGAAAATCAAAAATTAAGTTACTTTCCTTAATTAAGTTCATTTTTTACATACCTGAAAGTAGTTCATACTTAAATGATTGGTGCATCTAGTTAAACAGTTGGAAAGATGTTAAAGGTCGCCCATGAATCTGATCAATTTGAAGGTGATTAAAAGTACTTTTAGTTGTGGAGAGGAAAAGAGAAGAGAAAACAAATAGTGTGCACTGATCATTGGGTTTAATGAAACATTTGTCACATGTACAAATGCCCTTTGTTTCACAGATGCTTGGCTCTGAATTTTGCTCAGATACTTTCCAGTATTTGGAAGCAATAAGTATCTTTAATTTTGAGAAGCCTAATGCAATAGTTTTTTGATTTGGTTTAATCTCTTGTCATGAAGGCACTGACCCATACAGTGAAACTCACTCTACAGTCTCAACATTGTAGTCATACTAATAAAACAGTTCATATTGCAAACTTGAACTTTATTGATACTTGAATAATTTCATCACATGACTGAAATTATTTTAAAAATTAAAAATATATTGTGGTTTTCATGCATATTGAAACTAATTTATTCCATGCTTTATCTAGGCATTACAGGCGATCCTCGTCCTCCAAAAATTACTGAGAAAGAAGGAGCAAAACCACCTCTTCCAAAGGTCCATAGCAGCAAGAAGCCTACGACTCCAGCCAAGAAACCAATCTTAGACAAGTCAAGGACTCCACCTGTCAAGGTAATATTGGTCAACATATTATGTTTTCAGTTGCTTGAGGTTTCACCAATACTTGATTTTTTTGATCTGCAGATTTAAAATCTGAAAATCATCTCCACACAGATAAATTTCATGTAGTTTAAATTTTGTATTCCAACCATTTGCAGTCAAATTAATTTCGTATTCCTTTAGCTCTTCAATCTACTGTGCACTCTCATAAACTAAAAATTCTCATGTTTGAAGGGTTTACTTCATCTGGAAAGGAGAATAGCGACCAAAAGTCAGAGATAAATTGAACTGAAGGAGAATTTTTTGAAGTGGATGTTCATTCTTCTGGTATCTCATAGTCCTCAACTCTTCAGCAATGTGACCATTAGCGACCAAATCAAAATTTCTTTAAACTAAAAATACAATATGGCTTATATTTTTTCATGAAATTTGCAACTCTTGCCGTGATGAAATATTGCAAATAGTGTGTTTCAGCTATCATCTAAAAAGATCTTTAATCTGCTTCAAACATAGTACACCTTCTTTCAAAACCCACATTATAAGTAAAAGGATCTTTTTATTGCATACATGGCCAATAATGTGGTGACCTACACGCCCAATCATTTAAACATTTAATACACACATTTAAACATTTAATAGCATGCATTACCTTAGCAACAATGTTTGAAAGGCTTTTAAATGTAAATAACACAATAATTTCTGTTTGGAGAGGAACTTTCAGATTATTTGGTTTTTATGATGATTTTAGTGTGTGTGATATATTATTATATTTTTATTTATTATTTTTAATTATTTTTTGTAAATTATGTTATTATTATTGTTATTATTATTGTTATTATTGTTATTTTAGTTTTAACCTGTTCTGTGATTCTAAGATGCAGTAAAAATGATGTAGGCAATGTATTCTTTTTCCAGGAGGGAATTGATTTCCAGGACGTTGTAATTACAAGGTTCACTATAGACGAGGTTCAAATTCAGTATAACCGAATCTTCTTATGCTTATTTGTAACATACGTAAAACGGGATCGGTGACTTAAGTTCACTATAACAGAGGGCTCACTATAACCTGTGTCTTCTACGCAAATGTCATTTGATTTAGGGAAACATTTTACCATCTTATCTGGGGGACCCTTCAAGGGGAAAATAATTAAGCCAATTTGAGAAAATTTTGAAAATGTCTCAAGGGATTCATGTAATGCCCCCCCCCCCTCCCAAAAAATGTTATTCAGTAACACAGAGCTTTGAGTACTCCCCAGTCGATCTAGCCTCACTCAGTTTGGAAAAATCTACGAATAGTTTACTTTTTCGGTATTAAGGTCTCGCTATTCGTGACATCTGACTGCATTACCTTTTATAGGGAGTAATTTACTCCATAGTACAACAGAATTTATCAACTTTTTCTTTATCCCACCCAATACTAGTTTTTCTGACGAAAATGCAAATTAACGTAATTCTGAAAATTTTATTCCCTCGAGTTTGAATACATCGTGTAAGGAGTGTGCCACGAGCGTTGATGTTGTCAGCTGCCTGTCACAAGTTGTCAGCCTGCGCACAAGAGTCGCTTAACGCGTGTCGTAAATTAACACTATCTTATGCGACACGGAACACAAGTGTTCTTGACTCCTGGCGTTGTTGCCAACGTGCGTCGCCTAGCGGGCGTCGAAAGCTAGAAAACGCGAGTTATCTTGACTTCCGTTGTCGCTTGACCTGTGGGCGCAACGAATGTTGCCAAGAGCGCTCGTGGCCGCGTCGCATAAGACAGTGTTAATCTAGGACCCTTTGCGCAGACATCGACGCAGCTGATGCCAGCAGCGTTAGGTGACGCGCGTCGGCGCAACGTTCGTGTGACATAGTCCTAAAGCGCGGAATTTTTATCATGAATAAGGGACGCACAGAGAAAACCAGGGACCTGGGGCAGTTGATCCACTGGGGCACCTTTTTTCAAACAAAAAATTCCCTCTACTAATCCATAATCACAATTCACTTTTCCATACATCAGGTATATCATAATATTAAATTTTGAATAAACAATGAACACATTTTTTATTTGGCTTGAATTTTAAAACAAAATGTGATCCTAATTAATTTGGGTCTGGGGCCAGTCCCCCCCCCCTCCACCCTCCTTCTCATTGCTCTGCATGCAACGTTGGTGAACATTAAGTACAACTGGATAACACTAGTGCCTCCTATCGTTTCATCCAATAGTTTTGTCCAAAATTCTAAAATGGAGATTTGGATCTAGTTGAAATGCCCTGCATAGTTATGAAATTTAACAACCTGTATACTTAATTCAAAAAGTTCCTTGGGCTTTTCTACAGTAACGTAAATGTTCTTACTTATTGGTTCTCACCTATGTCATTATCGTTTGGATGTTATATGTTAGGACTTTCATTATGATGTAGAAGTGTGGAAAAACTACTAAATGTAAAATGAATATCTGAAATATTTCGTTTGGGAAGTACAGAAATTTATCCGGGACTTCCAAAAAAGAAATGTATAAACATGAAAAACACACAAATGGAGTTCTAAGGTTCACACATTCACTGTATTCGAATTTTGTTGTAATATTAAGTTATTCTAGAATCTCATTAATCTTGTAAATTAAATGAACTTTATTATAGACTGTGTCTTTAGATAAGAGGAATATGTGCGTTCAAATATTAATGCAAAGAATTGTTAATTTCAAATTGGTTCAGCCAATTCTTATGCTACTTCCCTTTCAAGAAAATTTGAAACTTTTGTTAATTTCTAGGCTTCTCCTCGAGCAACTCCAAAGGCTACACCGCTGCAGTCTCCAGGTTCGGAAGTGCCTCCACCTCTTGCAGAAAGGGTCGATGATAAACATGAAACTGAAGATGGACGATCTGAAGATTCTGCAACCAAATCTTTGGATACTTCTGAAACTGGTATTTCAGTATTAACATATAATGAAAAAATTAATGCATAGAAAGGCTTTAAGGATATGTAGAATTTTCATTTTCTTTACACCTTTCAAGAAATAAACAAATAAAGAGATACAGGTAATATAATTACTCGGAAAGATCAATACAATGTTTTCAATACCTGAATGAAAAGGTTATGCTTGTTTTGCATATTTTGGATACATATGAATTTGGTTGGGTTTTTAGTTTTAAAATTATATCCTTCAATAGGGAGAAAAATTAATTTCGTGAGTTTATTTTCATTAATACATTTTCCTACTGCTGGTTGTGTGTGATGTGTCACACTTGGTGAAGTGGAAGGGAAGAGGGATATTGTGATGAAAGTACATTTTTTCATTTATTTATTTATTTATATCAAAAACAAAAAGTCTGAATTTGACTTCGAAGAGGAAGAATAAAAGCACACTAGTTATTTAACGCGAGAGAATTGTAGAGGTAATGTTCATAAGTGAAAAAGGTGCATGGGAAATTCTTGAAAAATCTACTAATTGCTTCACTGTTAATTTTTGAGGAATTACCCATACACAAGTTGTATTTAAGTTATACTATTTCAATACTAAATGTTAATAAAGTTGAATGAAACTATCAAAGTAAAAAAAGATGCCCGTTGCACGTAACATTCTTACTTTGTGTTTGAACTCCATTATGTCAAAGCTTCCTGAATTAATTTCACGTAAAACATGAAGTTTTTTACAAAGATAATTCAGAATGTTTCATTGATATTCAAAAATGTATATTGAGTAACAAGAATGAGATATAAATATAACTTGTAACATTATCAGAAATGTATGGGGAAAAAACAGTAACTAATCAAAATAACTATTATTAACACAAGAATGATGGAAGTAGTAATTTTCACTGTTTTTGAAGTTTGTCTACTTTTGTGCCTATATTAATTGATTTATTTTGATGATATTTTGTGACTATTAATATTTAAAGATGTTGTATAGGATACCAAAATATAATTGCTTTAGACATCTTAATTTTCAAGATAATAGCTAATTCTTAATAGTTTACCTTCAACGACACTTAGCAGTCAAAATTACTGCTCATTTTAAATGTGATTGTAATGACAAAATGGCTTGAGCTCTCACTATCTATTCTTCATCCAAATGCAGGATTGTACAGGTATTTTGTAATATCATACAATTCAGGAATCAATCCCTGAAAAGGTCTTGGAAAACGATCTGTCCTGGTAGTCTTATTAACTGAACTTGGCTGAATAACTTTGTGCACCACTACTACGGGCTGGAAACATTCCAAAAGAGCATCACTTGTCACAAATTACTTCCATACAACAAACGGGCGAGAGTTGTCTTAGCATTGACAGTGTCAAGTAGAATATTGTAAAAACAAGAAGTCCAATTATGCATGTTCTGGCACATACTTCATGGCAAATGTGACGACATGAAAAAGGTAGTCGTTTGATTTGCAAGCCAAAATAATTAAATATGTCAATGATTTACTTCAAAAAATATTTTTCATTACCCCAAAGTGTGTTATAAGGTAAATAATAACAAAAGTCATCTGTCATCTCGTAAAGTGCATTTAGCACAATTTGTACCAAAAGGTTAAGAAAATAATTTGGAGCAGTTTTTGAGAATATGTTGTTTTTGTAATTTTTTAAAATTGCAAATATTGCGTGAAAACTAATAAAATTTTCACAAAACTGTACAAGACTTTAATGAAAGAACTAATTATGGACCCAAAAAAATTCAAATTTTTGAACTTTTTGAAAATTGAGTTAACCATGAAAATCGGACCTATGCTATCTTTGATTGTATTTTACTCTATTCTTACAAGAAATTTAGAGAAATTTGGAGCCGTTTTCGATAAAATTTTGAAAATAGTTTCGTGTACTTCATGTAAAGTACCCCCAAAAATTAATGAATGATTTTCAAAATCACAGAGTTTCAACACAAGCCAATTAGACAGGGTCTTAAGTTTAAAAAAAAATCCTATGTATAGTTTAGACACTAGTGTTTTTCACATACACCGGACAGGTAAAAAAGCACTTTTGGTATCAGGGGACCCTAAAACGTGCATTTCTGTTGATTGCGAAATGGATTTTTCGCAGCATTACAGGACTTTCCCTACACTATGATTATTACTCTGTATATAAGTATGTATGCGGGGAAAGGTAAAAAAAAATGAAGAATTATTGAAGTTTATGACTGCTAACCATCTTTGTAGGTACAAGCATTCTTGACAATTTGAAAAAGATAATTACCATTATCTACAATCATTTGAAGTGTTTGACAAGTTTTTTTATTATAGTTCATAATTTCTTTCACCGCTGAAACCCATTTCCAAAAACTTCCACAACTTCTTTTCTCTTTTCTTTAATTTTCTTTTTTTCTCCCCGCTTTCACTGAAACTATTAACATTGAATTAATATAATATTAAGTGGATTAATATTTGTGGCATTGTAATGAAAAACTTGTGGTGCTGAAATAGCATGTACTTTCTCCCCCTTAGTGATGGTTATGAAATGACATGTACCACAATTTCTCTCAGAATTAACACGTCTGTCATTCTCACTACAAATCATAGAGAGTTTGTTGCGGAAACTTAGTTTTTTCAAACGAGTATCAACACCCATTTGACAATTATAATTGATTTCATACCGCTAAATCATGTCCCAACAAGGAGACATAATGCACAGAAATTCAGTTGCAGACTCGCGGCACAGAATACTATTGTTGCATTTCAATCGATATACCTTGAAAGTTAAGTTTTTCTTTCATATTACATTTAAATCGTATTTTTAAGAGAGAGAACCTAATTAGTCTAATTTTAATTGAGGTTTGTAGATTGCTTGAAAGAAAATACATCAATACACTGAAAATGCAAATACGTTCCTTGCGACATGGAAAAAAATATAGATTATCAAATAAGTTTGAAATAGTTTCTAAAATATTAATTTGCAAACTTATAACAGAGTTCAAATGTAAAACGCTAACAAAGAAATATGAAATAATACACAAATTCTAACTTCTTTAGCAACTAGCTGCTTGGAATCATGCCTCAATTTATGTTCAAGAGGTGCAGGAAATTCGCATTTTTCACGCAAATTACACAAATATTTTATTTTGAAAATAAATTCAACCTGACATTATTTGAAGATCTGGTTTTGAAGAAAACACTTTCAAATAGGATAAAAGGGATATCTTCTCTATTGTACTTGTAGAAAGATGCTGAGAAAAAATTGCTTAAACAAAATTAAAAATTGCCTAAATTTTATGATTATACACTACTTTATTTTGAAGTCTATCTTTAAGAAACAATTTCATTAAGAGAAAATATGTCCATCTTTAATATTTTAGTTGAGAGAAGATGCCAAAAAATGTTCGAACTTTTGCAATATCCGAAAAATTAGTTTTTTACCAACATGAGACCTGCACACTTCTCTTAAATGCCCTTCATTCTATCCAATATCAAAGTTAAATGAAAAATGTTGCAAATATTTTTTTGAAAATGTTCCAGGGGCGTGGTGTTAAGTACCATCCAAAATCAAAATTTAGGTTTCATAGCATTACATCATCCATATCAATAGGGGAATGTTATATTTGAAAAAAATGGATGAATGGTTTAGCCTCACAGGCATAAATTTTGCCGTCAATTGATTTTTCGGAATCAATATCTCACAACATGGATTCTGGCTACAACACATGTTAAGAGGATTTTTTTTCTAAATTAAGATATCAGATTTATCCACTTTTTCGTTACCAGGGCTTGGAGAGAAGCTTTTTAGCCGAAAATGTGCCGCTTTTTCTTGTAGCATTACGTAACATTCACTCTGCTGCTTAATGGGTTAAGAAAGTTAAAAAACAGTGTTAGCTATTTTTTTCTTTTTCTCATTACAATGCCACAAACATATTCAAATAATGTTGTAGACTGACAGGAAAATTTGATAATTTTTTCGTGATTGACAGCTGAGTTTTGTGTGTTTCAATCAATTCTTTCTTACCATTGAACATTTAGAACATGAATGAATTATTGGAAATGTGGGAATTCTTGTTTTAAAATAATTTAAATTTCTCGCAGCTGTTGAAATCCAAGAAACTACTGCAGAAGTGACTGAGCCTCAGAGAGAACAGCCTGTACCATCGGTGGCTGTAACTGCTTCTTCAGAATCCGTTGAAGCTGCAACTGAGGAATCTGAAAAGGAAGGAGTAGATGTTCCTAAATCAGTTGCAGCTGCAGCTCCGGCACCTACAGCCACAACACTTGCATCTAGTGCTTTAATTGCTGCTGAACAAGCAGAGGGTGAAAATGAAATGACTGGTAAGAGAAATTTCCAAAGAACATATTTATAACAAGTTAAAGTGAAATGGATATCTTATCTTTTCTATTGAACTTTTTAATTTAATGTTTAATGCGTACAAAGATTAATGGAATGGTTGGGATGCAAGTTTTCTTTAAGCTAAAAGTTTGTTACTGCAATCAAGATGCGCCTTTTATCAAAAGATGCCATTTGCTCTTAAAATATTTCCCTTCTTTAATTGACTTTGTTATACTTTCCAACTTACATTTGATTAGTGATGGCATCAGTATATTTTCTTCATTCCACCTAAAAAAAATATTTTTGATTAAATAAGATTCAAAACACATTTATTTATTTTTCTGTGTCAATATAAAAAAAAAATGTATTTTGGTTTTATTGCACTTAGTTGTCTGTTGTATCAAAATTGTCACTAGTTAACTTCTAAGGAAAAATTATAAAAACGAAGTTCTCTGTTAAATATAAATACACAAACCAAATTAATATTGTAATTTTATTTATGTATTCACATGTATTGTTTCATTGAACTCCACTTTTAACAGAAAAAAATTGTTCTAGCGTCATTCATTGCAAAAACTCGCATTACTACAGAAGAGGAGGCGAAGGCTGCATTGGCTGAAAGACGGCGTTTAGCACGTGAACAAGCAGAGAGAGAAGCAGAATTGGAACGCCAGAGACAAGTGGGTATACATGTGTGATGGTTGTGGATTTTTAAGATTTGAGATGTATTAGTTGAACAGTAAACTAAACAGCAAGTTTAACAGAATTTTCCATTCATTGCACGGAAATATACCCTAGTTCTGGGCAAAAAACGTAATTTCTCCATATTAGTGCTACTCTACAGATGTGAAGGGCAGCTACAAATGAAACGGATTTCGAAACAGTCGGTGCGTAAGCACCATGCAATAAGATTGTAGTTCGTGGCCTGTCACACTGACAGAACACTCAAAATAAGAATTTTGAATTGTGTTCATTGTTATGTTTTATTATAATAATAATAATAATAATAATAATAATAATAATAATAATAATAATAATAATACAATAATAATAATTTATTCATTATATCTTGATTGGCACATTGGACCACTTGAGTCGTTCCACTTCACTTTTTACGTTCATGGTTGACTGTTGAAGGTATCACCTTGAGGTGAGGATAAATCCTCGAGTTACAATTCTGAATGTTATTCAGAAAGGTGATAATGAGAGATGGAGGAGATGTTATTCAGGGTTGGTTCCCCGTCTCCTCCCTTTTTTTTTTGGATTATTTTGTTTGGACTTTGGGATTTTTTTTTGATTGGGACTTTGGGATGATTTGTGGGGGGGGGGGGGGGGGGGAAAGGATGAGCACAATACAACCATGGCCAAGGCGGGACTCGAACCCGCGATCTTTTGGTACGAGATCGCTAAGCACTACTGCCTTGGTGATCTCGGCCACCGGATCGGCAATACAATAGTAATAGAATAATAATACAATAATAATAATAATAATACATCTTTTACAACGTCTTTTGATTATTCTTTATTTCTTAATTCATAAATTATTAACATGTGATTTCTATATTTAAAAACTACCGAAAACTTCAAACCCGTATCTGTCGAAATTTCATTTCTTGAGGTTTGCCAGTGATCAATACAGTACACTAGATTTTGAATTGAATGGCTTCTGCAGAATTATTTGGTTTTTGAAAACTATAAAAAATATTAACAGGACCTATCTGCTGTTGTATGTATGTGCATAAAAGAAACATTTCTTGGCACATAGTATTTTTGAATGATTTTTTAAGGGCATATCACTATTTTTATCTTTACCTAACAAGCATATCGAAATTGAGCTATAGAGTATATCTACCTGAATATCTGGTTGTGTCATGGTGCTTCTGGGCTTCTTCGCACTGATGCCCCGTAGTGGTTGAATGGCACATGAAAGCTGCCCTGGATGCTCACCAGTGTGGCAAATGGAAATCTCTATTAGCTAAGAAAAATTGGGAATGTTTTGATTTGATCTCAAAAGACATTAGAACATTTTTTAAATACTTTCCAGGAAGAGGAACGTAGGCGTGAGGAAGAGCGTATTCGTCAGGAAGAGGAAGAACAACGTCGTTTTGAAGAAGAGCAAGAACGATTGGCTGAAGAAGCTCGTCGAGCTGAGGAAGAAAGGCTTAAACAAGCTATCCTTGTGAGTACATTAGTGTTGTAATTTGTAATATAGTGACTTGTAAACCTACCTTTTGTCTCAGAAATATGAAGATGTATTGTTGCCATAAAAGATAATTACGTTCTGGAAAGGCAAGAAATACTTATACTACTGTAAATGTATTACATGAGAAATATATGAATACATTTGTTGGATGAAATAAGCAAAAATGAAAATACAAGACAGTATTCTTAAACTATAAAGTTTTGCAACACATGCACTCCACTTACAGGACTAATGACCTTAATAATTGACATGCCCAAAATCACTAATCAATCAATTCTGGCAGACATAAGCACACAATCTTAAAGTAAAAACTGGATCAAAATTTGTTCAGCCTTTCTAGAGATTATCCTGAACAGAGAAAAATCTTTAAAACTGAAATGGATTTTATATTGTTAAGCATATGAAAGTACGAAAGGCAGTTATTGTGAAATAGGACCCTTGAATTTTATTTATGAACATAGTTAAAATGGATTTTATTAATAGTAAATTAAGATTACAAATGGATTTAATAAAATTCTAAAATAATCACAATTAGACGAGGATAGTTCATTACGCTGTGTAATTTCATTGTGTGTATATATGCTGTTTCGTTGTCATGATTTCGTAATGCAATTATATTACAGTAAATTTCACACACTAATTGCTACTTCCTTATTTTATTTTTCATATTTGACATAATTAATTGTCAAAAGTACTACACTGAAACACTGTTTCTACTTTTTCGCACTAATACTTTTTCACGTTTATGCATGGTTCTCTGCAAGCCCCTGATAAATTCATATATTTCCCATGCTAAATTATTTCAGATATGCTTTTATATTTTTTACACTTATACATTCATAATGAAAGGCCCTTTATAATTATAATTCCAAAACTACAGGTACTAATAAGTGAGAAAATTTGTTATTGTACAGGAACCCATGGAATTCTTTTGTTGAATTCAGTATTAAGGTTATTTAATTTCATTGCTTCACAGGACATTTCACTGACAAAATCAGCATCAAAGTTCTGTATATATTTTGTGATATTTCCTGAGATATAAAACCAATTCATACTACTTAGATAATTATTCTAATATGTATGGCATACAAGTATCAATAATTCTTTTGTTTACTGCTCCAATATTTATGTTGATGTTCTGAAGAAAACATGCTCTGCCACATCACTCCGTTTCCACTCAAAAAACGTTTTCTGTGCTCGATCAAGGGCATCTTGCTAGTAATTCTTGAATTTTCACCAGATCATAGCTCATTGCACGTCTGATACTTTGGTACTTCACATTGTGAACATATTCCACATAAGGGACCTTACCTTAGGTGGGAGTAGAGCTGGGGTGTAGGCCACTACTTTGTTAGCAATAACAAAATAAAATAAAATCTTTGGTTGGTTTACTATTGCAAATAAGTTTTCTGTACCTCGAAGTGAAAATGTCTCATTTTTAAAAGATTCTAACTATACTTCTTTTGAACCTTTTATTCATTATTCAAATATTTATAGTTAAAATGTTGGGAAGAGAGGAAATCAAGAAAGCATGCACAGAGTACTTCTCCCCCATACATCACACAGTTTTTACTGATCTTTGACTAAATAAATAAAAACTAACATTGGTTCCTGAGTGGAGCACGCCAGTGTAAAGATATTGAGTTTCAGTTTTGCTCATAATATTCAATTTCAGTTATACATATTGCTCACATTATTTCCCATCTGTCCCCTAAAAAATGTGTAAGTGGAGTTTTACTGTTTCTTGTTGTAATAACATTCAAAACACCTTATTGTGCATCATGATTGAAGAAGAGGAAGGGCTCTTCAGGAAATGCATACAACACAATTGGTGTAATTGGTTTGTTAATCCTGTTTGTATTTTGATGTTAAAAAACAATATGGCATGCATGAAACATTCTGGTTCTTCGATACATTTTGCTGTTATATTAAATTTCATTTTAATAAGTTGCAACAATTCACAGTATGGTCAATGTGTACTGAAAGATAATTAATATTCATAACTCCTTGACCATTTTTTTGAACTTCGAATCAACTGAACGTAATTTTCATGAATATTAACGAATACTCGTAAAAAAAAAATGTGGATCACAACCAATTCATTGTTATAGGAAAACCAAAAACGTGAAGAAGAAGAGAAAAAGCGGCGGGAAGAGGAAGCTCGGTTAAAGGCTGAAAAGGAGGAAGCAGAGAAAAAGGCTCGTGAAGAAGCAGAAAGGTAATAAATTTTGGAAACTTTCATTTGAATTATGCAAGTTTCTTGGAAAGATGCTTTGTATTCCTAGTTAAGTAATTTTAACCTGAATGACAAAAAGTCTTCTACAAAAAGAGCGTTTCTTTTGCAGAAGTAATACACTGAAGATTTCTGGTCCTCTCTTCCCTAGTGTGCTAATTTTTTACTTTTTTTGGTAATTTACTCTTTTGGGTAATGCCTTGTGAAATTGGCTGAAAAAAGCATGATCTTGTAAGATTGTCTAAAAATTGTTTAACTTGTTAAATATGGTGTTAAAAAAATTCAGAAGCTTGTATGTAGCAGGCCTCTGAAAAATTGAAATCTCAGATGAAAATTCATTCTTATATAAAAAAAGTTTATCCCAGTATGCACTTCAAAGAAAGAGTTTTTTGAAAAAATGAATCGGTATGCGACACTGGAAATTTCAAAAGTTGATGTTGAAATGATTACAAATATAATCAGAAAAGGAAAATGCATCGATACATGGGAGTGCCAGAAAGAACATAAACAGTGAATTATGGCCCTTTCAGCTAGAAATACAGAAAATTACCAATTTATATAAGTGTGCAAATTATTTTAAAGCATGGATCATTGCATGTAGGTACCTAGGCATTCAATCTGTGTGTCACATCATTCTCAGTATTCGATGTGCCCTACCTGTAAAGCTGTGTGTTTATAATTCCTTAGGAACCTATCAAATATATGCTTTGATTGCAATCTGAAATTTCAGTACCTTTTTACTTTGATGAAAATGTGTAGGTGGAATTAATGTGACATTTACAGAATTTATAATTAGAAATATTGCTACATCAACAATCAATAATCAATAAAATTCAACATTAATACAATCAACATTCAATACCATCAATAAAATTTGATCTAGAAATGTAGATTCTTACACTGTAAAAACTATGTACACCATTTAAAAAAATGATGAAGGTCGAAAAAAATGTTTCCAAATAAAGTCGTATAACTTGTGAAATTTCAGTTTTTCATGCTGAGTATTTTTTGCTTGAAAATTTAGAATTTGTAGAATTTTTAAGATCAACAATCTTGAAAATCGAAGTTAATGTATTGCGGGAATTTATGTTTGAAAAAAAAAGGGATTTTTGAATTAAAGAAAAAGAATTTTTTATATTTTTGGATTACATAAAAGCAAGGTCAAAGATCACACAGATGCCCTAAATGACTCTTCTAGATTTCAAAAATCACATTGATCAAGTCGAACAAATTTTTAACTATTTTAAAATTTTAAGAGAACCACATTGTTTGGTCTGTCTGCCTGTCCATCGGTGAACAACACTAGCCCCTAAACGATTTGTAGCAGTTTTTCCAATTTTAATTACCTGATCGATTTGACCCGACTTGATGTTCTGGAAATTAGAAATGAATTCTCTGACTAAGGAGTCCTCTGCATGAAATCCCCCAAGACATTTTTAAAATTTTCTCAAACATTACTAACTTTTTCTTTAAATATCTTTTATGTATGGGGTGTAAATGGGTATAAAGATGACGTAGAAAATATTTTTCACGGTTAACTCTGATTTTTGGAAAATTTCAAAAGTTAGAAATTTTACCCTCTTCAACTACATATATTACATTATTAAAGATTGAAATTTTTTCTTCAAATTCAATTAGTTGACCGTAATTAGTCCTGTATTTAATGATGAGTAATTGTTTGAAAATACAGTATCTAAATAGTTTTTAGAGGAACTATTTAGGAATATATATACTAAAACAGAGATTTTATCAAAAGCAAATTTTTTCTCCAAATTTGTTCTTTTAACTTATGTACGGATAGAGCTTATGCACTGAATAAGATGGCAAAATTCCATTTTGATAAGTTCTTTTAATTTTTCAAAAAATGAATTTTTGAATTTGAATTTTGATTTACTGAATTTGAATTGAATTTTTTCAATTTCTCACATCATTAGTGTTTACACTAAAGACATTTTTAATAATTTATTTCATTTGTTTTACAGGTACTTCAAATTATTTCTTTTAGAGTTTCTCAAAGAGGGAGAGGGATTTGTCAGTGGAAATGAGCTCAAAATTATGCATTTTAAGAAACATTAAAACAAGTTTCTCAAAAACTCATTTATCTATCATGTTCTTAAAGTTATATTTTATTTATTTTTATTTAGTTTTTCCTGTGGGTTGGATAATCAAGTTATTAAATTGAATGCCCAAATTGTCTTTCTATGCAATCTGTTAGCTTAATTGATCTAGATCCAGTGAGAACAAATGTATAACTGAGGTGAGGCCAATGAATAACACAGGCAAATAAGGAACAGAACTGTGAGATAGGCAAAAGGGATGATCAGGTATGCTACAACCCATCATAAAGGAATAGTAGGTAATGCTAGAGGCCCTGTTATTTTAGACTATCAATGAGAATAGGTAACGAGAATAGGTAACAAAATAGTGTGGGAAAGTCTGTGCTATTCTGTATTACCACTTGTTTAAAATTGCTTGTAAAAAAATGCATTTTTTCCCTTGTCTTTGTATTAATTTAAATTTATTTTTCTCTCACTCTGTCTTATCTTTTTTTTCTTCTTTTCTCTTTTTCTAGATTGCGCAAAGAAATGGATGAGCGACTGAGGAAGGAAGAGGAAGAGAGAATTGCTCGTCGTAAGAGGGTTGAAGCTATTATGTTAAGAACTCGTGGCAAAGGATCTGCAGCGTCTAGCACATCTGCTAAGGTAAATTATGATGTACAGTTTTTGAAGTGCTTTATTTATACAGATGACACAAAACTAAAATATCAATCTCTAACCTGCTATAAAAACAAATTTCAGTTTTTTCTCACAGGCAGCTTACTAATTGTAACATACAAAACCCAGCTCTTGTTGTGTGCAATGTGCAATATCAGATTAAATAGCTTGATATTTCATTTTGCATTTCATTGAAAATGAAAAGGTTCTTCAAAGAGCTCCCAATATTTCATAGTTTAGTAAAGAAAAAAGTTATGGATCACTATATTACTATAATATAGTGATCATGGTAATCTGAGCTTCATATCTTAAATAAGATATTGCTATACCTCAATTCTACATGTATTCATGATTGATAATTCGTAAAACTTGGAATTCTTAAAATATTTTTCAAGATGTCAGAAAAGCAAATTATTAGAAAAAATGTTATTAGTTGTTTGCAATGTTCCATTATAAAATTTTCTTGCAGGGTCAGGAAGAGGGTGATAATGATGAAGGAAAGGATGACAGCCCGTCCGAGGAAGTGAAGTCGGTGCCTAGCAATACAAATGGTAGTAGCCAGTGTGCATCAGAGGTTCAGCAGGAAGCAGAACAGCCAGCACCAATGTCAGAACTCCAGGAGAAGCAGCAAGTATCGTCAGGAAATGGCCATCAACCAATGGACACGTCAGCATCTCCCAGTGCAGCGCAATCTCCTCCTGCTCTAGCTCCCAGTACCAATGGCAAAGCTTCATCAGATGCCACTAGTGACTTGTTAATAGACACAAGCAGTGCTGCAGTGTTAAAGCCTGTTGAAGCTAGTGAAGATGGGCAGAGTCGAAACAATGTCGTGTCTACCCAGAGCAATGGTCATCAAAATGGCATGGATTTTAATCCTGTTGTAGGCTATGTAAATGTAGATAATGTGTAAGTATAACAGTGCATTAATTCCTAATACTTTTCATCTGAAGATGTTGCATTAGTTTCAAGAATTAATTTCAATTCAACCAGATGATTCTGTGACACATTTTGCCAACAATAATATAAATACAAAATTGGATTCAGTATTTTTTTTTTAATAAAAAAATGGTTTTAACAGACGTTTGGCTACCTGCTAATTACAGAACACTTGAAAATTATTTCAGAAATGTGTGTTACAGGGTTTCTTAACTTGTAAATAATGATGATATTATAAATTGGTCAAAGTAAATGTATTTATTTCCAAAGATCAAAGTTTTAAATATTTCTTTCATGTTATGTAGGTTAGAAACTGACATTTGTTGATTATAATTATTGTGTATTTAACAATTCTTTTGTTGTAAGTCAGTTTCCTTCAAGAATTGAAGAGAAACATTGTAGAGTTGAAAAAAAATAATTTTTCTTTTCTTTTCTTCTTCCTTTTTTTTTTTTTTTTTTTTTTTTCTTCGAGTTTCTTGTTCGTATTTGCTTTACATTGCTCCATGAAATACTGCTTTGAGGCCTAACATAAGCATTTGGAGAAGTAAACTGGTGATCTGGCATTGCTGTTAGCATGAGCTCTTAAAATATTTTGAATTTGCAGATGTTCTTCAATATTAACCAACCCATAAAAGTTCAATGAAACAAAAAGTGAAGATGAAAATGTCATTTTACTGAACTGGTATTGGCAAGTTTTCAGTTCTAGTTTAAAAGTTTGTCCAATGTCCATTTTTCTGAGCAATTCATCGTGTGTTCCTTATTGATGTTTGTTGCCAGTAGTAGATCAGAAATGCCTAAAAATCCTTGCTCACACAAAATCTCGTAAACTTCATGCCTCTTCTCCTTTGAATGCATTTCAAGAGTTTCATATGCAAAAGTAGACAGTACATGAAAGATCAATAAAAGAATTGTGTAATAAGACCGTCAAGTAATTTCTGTAAATGGATTTATTTGTATATATTAGTGAATGCTTGGTTTTTGAATGGTACATACTAATAAATGATTTCCTATTAACATTGTGATGCATTGTATATAGTGTTATTATGCAAAGAGAGTAAGTTGATTGTAAGATATCATGGATGTTGGCCCAGTAAAGTGTCCAGTGATGTAAATATCTTTGGAATTAACATCTTTTGATTGGAAAGCTGTAATGTTTCCTTTTTTAATGGCCAACATGTCTTTCCTTGCATTTCTCTTGCTGCCTATGAATTTTTTTATAGTTTAAAAATTTTCTTTCTTCAGAACTAATATTGATTTGGGTTTTTTGCTTTTTCCTGCTTACTTCATAGTACATGAAAAAATTGAAGCAGAAAAAAATATCAATATTTGAGCTTGTGTATCTCTTTTCAATTGACATCAAATAAAGACTCTTGACAACTCACTCTTGACACTTGGGCTTTAAACAATATATTCTAGAATGGCCTTTCTCAACCTTTGCAAATCATTCTGGTGCGCCATTTTAAATTACCTTACACATAGACCCAGCCTCAGGTCAGCAAGTGCTCCAGTGGCATAAAATAATCCAGAAAGGGTTGGGGGGTGGGGCAGTAAGGTTGAGAAGCTCTGTTCTAGAAGTCTGTGTGGCTTCTTCACCAGCACAATATTTGGCTTTCCTCGCGCTCGGCAAGCAGTTGCTTAAACTCTGATCACTTTCCATGTTGGCCTGAAGTTGGATCTTGCTAGGCCTTCCTTCAATTGGTGTAAGTGCAGAAGGCAATGCATTATTTCACTTTAAATTATGAGTAGCTATTGCATGTTTGATGTTAGAGAAAACTTGTTCCCATTTTTATAAGCTCTGTTGACTTTAATTTATGTCCATGAAATGCATTCTTTTGAATAGTGTAATTTATGCTTTAATTTTGTGTTCAACTCTCGAAAACCCCTATGATATTAATTTCATATGTTTATTCATGTAGTTTGAAATGCAAGTGAACACCATATTGAATTGGCAGTGATCTTCAGTTGTTTTTAGAAATGCTTAGAATGTATATTTTTCTATATGCAGAAATAATTAATAGAATTCCAAAAACTACTGCCTACTTTTGCTGGATACTCTTACTTATTGATAGTTACTCAAAAGCTTCTAGAGAACTTTGTGCATGTGAAATAATTGGCAACTCTGGAATTATATTTAGTTACTGCCACTAACATTGAAGTAATTCTCTCCCACTTGAACCACAAATTTTGATGGAAATTATTGTGTACTTTCAATAATAGAAGTGCATGGAGAATTTGTAGATACATGCCATTGAATATCAGTACAAAGTTATTTTACTTTGCTAATACATCATTTATTTTAACACCTCAATTCTGAGAATTTTCTTCCAGAGTTCACATTACCATTAAAGTGTACTCTATTTTGTTTTCATTGTACAATATTGATATTATTTTGGATTTTAAATTTCATTTAGAATGTAAACATAATTTAGATTTCTTTTTCACAGGAAACAAAATAATGTGACCAACAACTTGCTTGATTTGGCAGAATTTGATGCATTTAGCCAATCCAACAACATGAATGTCCCTCCTCAATCTAATTTAACAGAAACGTCAGGAGATTTTGAACAAATTTTAGATCTAGGGCTCTCAACACCTGGGAAGCTAGCAAATGAAGATAACGTCAACTCAAATCTTGTCAACACTAATGGTTCATCAGCTCCTCCAGCTCCCATAATTGCCTTCCAGGATGGACTGGTCAAGAAAACAGATACCTCAGTGGCTGGTAAGGGAGATTTATATTGACATTTATGATTGTTCCTTGTGCATTTCTTCAAAACTTGGGCACATGTCTTTGATTGTATTAACTCGTTAAAGTATTCATCGAGGAGATACATTTTGAGTAAAATTATGCAATGCAAACTATTTTGATAACTCCTAACCAATTAATTGGGGAATGAATGTTTTCAACATTACACAATATTTTTAAAACTTAAAATGATTTTTGGATTCACAGTCTTAGTTGTTTTAATTTGCCTACAGTTCCCAAGCGATAAGATTTTGACTCCAGCAGTGTAGATCACCTCCTGAAGCTTACCTCTGCTTCTTGTGTTTAAACACCGAACATTTTGCACGGTGTCTCCTAGTATTGTGATTACCTATTGAACTTGTGACAAACATTTCTTCCACTTTGAATTGTTTTCTGGCCTTCTTCTATAATTCATTCCAATTGATTAGTAATAATTTTGCAATGTTACAGCAAGCATATTACTGATCAGTAAGACAAATAATTATCATGACAGGGCACATTTGCTGAATTTTTAAAATACTTATTTCTTTCAATAACTCAAATGAAAAGGAATTTCCTGCACAGATGATAATTTCAGACTTTAGATTAGATTTTTTGCAGTTAAATTTTTCACTATTCCGTTTTATGATTTAGAATTGATGAGATGTTGGAGGTTAGAGAAAAAGTTAGTGTGCATCTAAAAAGTTGAATGATAATTGGAAAATTTGCCAAAGTATCAGTTGTAAGAAACCATTTCATTCAAGAACAGTAGGCATGCATTAAGTCAGGAGAATAAAACTGATAAGCGCCTGTTTCTTTCCAAATTACAAATATTTACACATTTGGTGACATCAAAACAGCATACAATTGTGGTAGAGGATCACTATAAATATATTTGAATATATTCTATTTTATTTATTAATGGGGCATCCTTTCAAAATATATTAATTTAAGTAACATAAATATATGTAAATGTAAATTAAACACCATCACGCAGGTTACATGGCAAGAATGCTTTTAATAAAATAGATTAAGCTTATTACATAGAAGAATATAAAATGCACAGCAAAACAATATTGTGGGAAGCACCGAAACTTTTTCAAGCAGAAGAAACCTTAAGATAACATAGCCATGAACCTACAAATCAGGAGTAGATGTTGATCAACTGGGCCGCAAAGCTTGTTTTGAATGTACTTAATCATCTTTAACTTTAACTTTGTGTTTTTGTGTTCTGTATCCTAAGTAGTCAGTAATATCTAAAGTTAATTCTACAGTGAAAACTTCCAAGAGCTAAGAAGTGCTCATTTGAAAGTCAGAAAGTAGTAATACATCGCACATCAAGGTCTCATTAGTTTCAAGAAAATATTTGTAAAGTCTGTTATATAAATAATGCACGAGTTGTGAGACAGTATAATGGAAAATGACAGAGAATGCTACATTGGTGTTATGTGATGCTGGTAGTTTATCTGAATTCAATACTGATAAAATTTCTGAAAAGTTATTACATTAGTAATATCTAAATCTAGATGTTCACTTTTCAACATCTTTGTTTATCTGTTTACTTACAATTTCTAGACTTAAAGTTCCTTTCATTTTCATTCCTTTTCATTCCACTGAACAGGAATGGTAAGAAATTAATTACAATTAGACAAATTATTACCAGAATTATTAGTTTTGCAGTATTTACTTGTAAACACAATTGTTGACTGAGTGGAGTCAAAACAACTGTTAGGCATTCTAGGGGGTAAAGGCAAGGCAGGTGTTCTTTTGTTAAACCTAACTACTATGTGATCATTTACTATTTGGTTGTGTAGCTCTGACTATTATTATTTGTTTGTTTTTGAATTTAATAAATTGTAAGGACAATGGGTAATTCAGAAAATGTTTTTCTTTTCAGATCTTTTGTCCTAATGACATGATAATAAAACTTTGCTCCATATTGGAAGTACTAATAATCAGTGCAGGCAGAGAAAATAAAGCGAAGAAACAAAAAATGAAGATTGGCACTGCGTATCCTAGAAAGCAGTGTACAGAGTTTGTAAATAGTTTGTGTGGTAACAGTTGAAAGACTGATGTGTGCATGTGCTATGGAATTTGAATATATCCCAGTAAAATGAAGGAAGGAATCAACAAAATTATGTGAATAGGGAAATGCTACCCTACTGTCTGTGGTTGTCTTAGCTTCATTACTCTTCACCAATCCCTTTTGAGCAGGAATATCTTTAATTGTAGTTGATATATCTGGTATATATTATACTACATAAAATAATTTTCCTCTCTACGAACTGAAATGAGCTTGTGATTTCCCTGCTGATTTTTATCTTGCTAGTTGTGCACAAAGCAAATTTCTATGTCTGCAGATGTATCTACCTGTCCTGTGTTGCCTGTATATATTAATTAATGATTTTTGACATTTTTCTTTGGAATGGAGATGCACCTCACATCTCCATTTCAGTATGTATGTATTTGTTGTAATGTTTGATGAAGTAACTGAACTATGGAATAAACCCAATTTTATTCCATTAGATGTAACCTTATGTAATTACATCAAAGAATTTATCTCAAAAGCATTGTGCTGTTACTGACATAGATTATAAATGATTGGTAATTCTAGTTATAAATATTAATCACATAACAATGTATGATAAACCTAACAAGCCAAGAGGAACTCTTCTAACCAACATGGCAATGGAGAACGCTGTGAACCCATACCCCTAGTCAGTTAACAAGTAAGAAAAGTGGGTGATAAGATGGTGATTCTGAGAGTTAGGTGAATGAACAGACTAATGAGAGAAGCAATTTACATTCACCTTACAATCATAGTCATTCTCACATCACATGAAATTGATTGAATCAGCTTGTTGCTGTGTATGGATGTTATTTATTATTTAAGCAGCTTTTTATAGTTAGATATACAGTAAATATATTTTCTATTCCACTTAATTTGAGGAAGGTGGTGATGTAAATTTCCCTACCTGAGTGCTCAGAAATCAAAGGTTCACAAGGAGTAAAATCTGAGTCAGGGAGGATGTGTACACAATTGATTGGAAAATTGTATAATGTATATGTTTATGTTGATTTTGTCACTCTAATTGTTATGGAGCAGCCTGGGAACACTGCACTGGGCTCTGTAGTCATACTTCGTCAGCTCAAGGCCTGCAGTCTGTATTATTACTCTTACATTTAACGTATGAGAAAGTGTACTTTGGAGAGGTTGTCTTTAATCACCTTTCTGGTTTTTCAGCTGCACTGAACTATAATTAAACTGTGAAACTATTATCAGTCACTAATTCACAAATTTCATTTTTTATAAAATGTTTCAGTGGGTATACAAGGAAAAAGATATTTTCTCCAAAAGTACGCAGCGTGCTCATAATTTGCATAAACTGAATTACGTCATGAAAAACTACAAGAATACTTTATGATTTATTAATATAACATGCATTTTCTATGTAAAATGTGTATGATTTGGTTGCATTTCATTTTAATGAATTACCTTACTGGAAGATGGGTTTATTATAAGGATATTAGATTTGAAATATGAAAACTGTTTCTATTTCTATATTTGAAAGCTAACTGTGAACAATACTAAAGGGCAAAAGTCAATAATGTATTCATTTTTCCTTGTACATTGCTTGTATTAAAGGTGTATCAATACCATATACATCCTTGCATTATTTCACTCATTGTATTTCCCGTAAAACCTTTTCGTAAAATAGGCAAGATTTTAGGCCAAACTCTCCACAGGTGCCTCCTGTAGTTACTTCTTAAATATGATTTACATAGTGACTTTTTACATATGATCGGCTTGGATGCAGTTATCCAATTGGGAGCTTCAGTATCAAAAGTTATGTCCCAATGAAGCTCAGGATACCCTGTTGTTCAAATTTGGAATTCTCATCCTGCATTACCCCTCCTCTCTCCCATCAGCATTACAAGCAGCACTTCCCATCCCTACTGTTGGGCAGAAACAACAAACCGTGGGCCACACCAGTTGCTCACACACAAGTGCTATCTCGGGGCAAACGAAATGAGCTGCTTATTTGATCAGCCCGGATTTAAAGCAAAGTATCAATAGAACAGTGTTTTCTGAAATAAAGATGATATTGTTTCTTATATCTCACTAAAAATTTCAGTGTCAACCTATCACCATAATAAGCTTAGTCTGTTGGGACCTATGTTTTAACACTGTCGAAGTCTTGAAAATCAAAAGCTAACATGAGCTGCAAAGGTCTTGTTTAGAAAAGCCTATGACAGAACCTAACAGTTCCTTCAAAGTATTTCCATTTTGAAAGGTTTCCATCTGGGTTGCCAAAATTTCACCATACAAGTGAAGTACCGTACATTCAACATAATTTTGTTAGTAAAAGCAAAATACAAAATAATTAAATTACCACAAAAAATATTTGCAAGAAATAAAAAGAATGTATTTACGTATGTTATAGATGGGTACAACTATGTCCTATATGAAAAATTTGGAGTCATTTTTGAGAAAATGACGGTTACGCATTACTATAAATGCAAAATTTGAAGCTCTTGCACAGAAAAGTTAAGTCTCAAAAGAACTTTTGAGTTTTCAAACACTTCATTAGAAGTAGTTTGATGCACTTATGTTCAGAAATGCAATAATGCATTAATACATTAACATTGTACATTTGCCAACACCCAGAAAAAAGAAACCATTGGAGTATACCTAATCCACAATACTATATCAAGGGAATGCAAGATAATAGAGGCCCAATCAGGACTATTGTTGCTCCTCTGTGACAGATTGTTGGAAGAAATAGTTGCATCATGAAAGACCTTGTTAAAGGCTGCCTTCTCAGCGTAAGCAAGCGACACTGGTTGGAGAAACCGGCCTACCTACTTGGCATAAGCAAGCAATGCTGGTTGGATGAGCCAGCCTTACGTCATGACTCATTCGAGTGATACTGATAGAAGGAGCAGGCCTTCGAAGACTGTGCATAGAACAACACTGGTTGAAGGAGTCAGCCATACATGTTGCCTTATTTTAGCATTCTTTATTGGTGTAACAAGTTACAGATTGTTGATGGTTTTAGGAATGGGTTGTACATAGTACTTGCTATTAATAGAATATTCATTATATATTTTTCATCTAACAGCAGATGTGTACATTGAACTACACAACCACACATCACCTGAAATGGAAATTGCATAAAAATTAGAAAATTTAATTTCACAATAAATTACCCAAAAGGCCTCAAAAGCTTAAATTTTGCAGTCTGATTGTTGTAAGAGTATATACAGTTAAGTAACATCTGCATTGCTGTTGAATGTAATGTTGTGTGTTATAGGCACATGTATAATGAATATATTAAAACAGCATGTACCTAGAAATAAAATATTATTCAACTATAACATTAAAATTTTTATTTAGTCAGGTGAAATGTCTAAAATATAACATAATTGACAATAAAATAGAATACATTAATGCAAACTTAACTGCAAACAAATAACATAAAATTCATATTAACACAATAATGCAAAAGGGTGTATTAATACACAATTAAGGGTGCACATTACAACACTAAGCAAGTTTTTAGAGACCTGCCTCCTAGTAATTTTTTCAAGAAAATTAGTCAACAAATTTAATATTGACTCCCAAAAAATATAAATTTAATTCATATTTTTTTATAAATCACCAAGATTTGTTTAAATTTTAGCTAAAAATATAAAGGAAAATTATTTTTTGTTCATTTCTTTTCATCTTTCAATTTACAAATTTAATATTCTTGTTTTACATTTATATTAATTTTGGTAACCAAGGTGCAATAGCATGGCTTATCCTTAGGGTGAGTCATTTATTTAGAAAATGGCTAACTTTACCCATATCTATGAGTGCCAAAAGAAATAACTAATTGAAGATTTTACATCAGCAGAAGCAAAGAAGGTTAACTATTACAAGAAGAAATTCAATAAATGCTGACTAAATAGAGGAAGCCAAAAAATCAAAGTTAAATTTATCCTGAGCGACAAAGTATGAAGAGAAAAGGTGTATCCTCTTCTACAAGAAAAAAAAAATTGCCAGGAAAATGTGAAAATGTTTGTACTTTCTTAGGTTTTTGCAATAATGCACAAATTTTTGAAAAAAAACAAATCTTTAATGTAACACTGCTGTAGATAAAAAATAAGACAGGAAATAATTATGACACCTTGCTTAATATTGATTTTACATTGTGTTCTTCTTTCTTGTTCTACATCAAAATATATTAGTCATCTTGAAAATATACAGTATATACTGACATTCATTTCTCATCAAGTACCCTCCCAACAATCCCGAGACAATGTAAAAAATAAGTTTCCTTCAATAGATCCAATGATTGATCTAAATATATAAAAAAAGATTGAATGGCTCTTCCAGACCCACTACAACTAAACGTGTACAAATGGCATGACTTACAAAAAGTTTAATAAATTATTTTCAAAAAGGCCCATGATTTCAGAGAATAATGAAGACATGTTAGAAGCCATAACAAGAACCTTAATTTGTTTATAAATTTAGTCACTGAATTTGAAAAAATTATGTTCAATGCATAAGTCTAATATTTTGATTAGGTCTATATTTACTTTATAAGAGGATTAAGAATTCATAATGTGTTTTATACAAACATCTTCTTCAGAGAAATTGTTTACAGGGTAAAGATTGGAAGTCATATAAACTTTACTGAAAATATTAGTTTTCATGCAATCTTGAATAATATAACATAAACTTCGTTTTGATGTATTATTTTGTTTTTTAAAAAAATTGTCTTCAACAAATGGAATATTTTTATTCATATTTTACATCATTCAGATTTACATTATGGGCATGTTTAAAACATAGTTGCATTTGTGAGTGCAGGTGCTTCAAATAATATCAAATGCATTTTTTTTTTAAAAATTCAAAACCCTTTCTTGTAAAAACGAACTAAAAATTGCGGTTTTCGTAAACGCTTAAACGACGGTTTTTCAAAAACGTCTCCAAATGTTACAATGAAACTTTGCGTACAAAAAATAGGTTCTTCATTCTATGATATCCTTAAAGTCGTATTTCAATTCAACTGTAAGGCAGTGAATAATAGAGAATATTTAAAAAACTAGAGGTCATAGAACAGGAAATTCTCACATTATTTTTAAATTTACAATTTTCAAAAATTCTGAGACGAACGAAATTGAGATCTACACCATTCTTTTGAGGTTTTACTGTTCTATTTGTGGAAAAATGTTAAGAAAATATTTTAGGCTGTTTTTGTGGTAATGTGTTTTTGTAAAGTGCATTAAGCCCAAATTACGCTAAAACTACTCGTTTGTTGTTGTTGTTGTTGTTGTTGTTGTTTTTTTCAAACAATTTTAAATGATTTTTTTAAAACAGATTTTGTGGAAGGGGCGAATCTCTACCTTCAATTTTGTAGTACTAAAATGTTAAGATTGTGCAATTTTCGAAATACAGGGAGTTCGCCAAAACTGAAATTAGCAACCTTTTTTTTGACCGTTGATACATACAAGGAGAAAATTTAAAGCAAAAATATCAACAACTTTTTGAGGAAAAAAATGTTTAAAAAAACAAAGAAATCTGTCAATTATTCACACAAAATTACGCGAAAAATACTCGTACTTTTGATAAATTTTAGTTAATGTCCTGATTTGAAAATTTGTCTTTAAAGAACACTTCTCATTAAGAAAAAATCTCTTAACTTCAAATTGTAGTTTAGGGAGGCGCCGAAAACTTTCTTGAATATTGCTTTTTCGAAAAGAAAAAAGGTAAATACCCTCCTTATCAAGAACGTCTCAAATCAAAATGTGCGGTTCAAAGTCTGAGGGCCTCAAGTTTCTTTAATTCGATCGAGGAATATCAATTTCGGAGAAAATTCGTAGGACGGTTTAGGCGTTAGCTTCGACCACAGACTAACGAAAGGCGTCAATCGATGACCCAAAAATCATGGATTCTGATTACACGACGTGTTAGAGGAAATAATTTGCTACATTCTCGTATACGAACACGATTTACTCACTGTTTCATTTCCAGGACCTGGCAATAAGAGTTTCTCTGTCGAAAATTCGCCGGCACACGATTACAACACTTTCTCTTGTCACGGAGAAAGTACGAGAAAGAAGAAAATGTGTTACAGGCGCCAAAAAATAGTTGCTGGGAAGAGAGTTGGGAAAAATCGAAAAGCATCAAGTGCAAAGCATCAAACGTATCACGATTGATTAACAAGAACGACAATGTCTCTGCCATTCTGGAGCACTACTAGATATATCAATCTTTCAATCTCAGAAAGGCGAAAGCAGAATACACATAACAAGTAAAGCTGGAGCAATAGCAAGTTGCTGTGTGTTATAAACTGCAAGTTTTTTTAAGCAATATTTTACTGGTAATATTCATAAGACGCTAACTAAAACTTCCACCTGAAATTTATTTTGGTAGTAGATTACGTGAAGCTTAATACTCAGTTTGTTAAACAATCTTCGAAAATTCGTTCTAAATGATTTAGAGTATCCGGGCGCGCTAACTAGTGTTCATTAGTATCGTCAGTGTAGTGCATTTTACAGCTTGGGAGATAGCGGTGAACTTTCCCCGCATAAATCGTAGATCCGCCGTCCACCTACACTTCTGCTTGCATTGTTTCACGTCCAGGTATCTTTCTCAGCGAGGCAACGCCACA